ATTGTTATTTACTTATATATTAAATTATTAATTATCTACTTTACATACATATGTTATATTACTTATATTCTTTATCTGATTAATCTCTACCTATTATCTACTTATATATATTAAAGTATTATATATAAGTGTATTACTCATCTGTAATATACTTATATATTATATACTATAAACATTATATTATATATTAGTTATAAAATAATCTACTTATATACCTATATTATATTACTAATATTTATTATCTACTTAATATATACTTAAATTACTTATAATCTACTTATACATCTACATCTTCATCTTCTCCAAACCTCTCTACATATATATATATATATAATTATTATATCTACTTATATATTAATTATCTACTTATATACCTATATTATATTACTAATATTTATTATCTACTTAATATATACTTATTATCTACTTATACATCTCCATCTTTTTAATATTTACTTTGTTATCTATATTTATTGTTATTTACTTATATATATATTAAAGTATTATATATAAGTGTATAACTCATCTTATAGTATATACTTATATATTATATACTATAAACATTATATTATATATTAGTTATACAATTATATTAGTTACACTTGAATTCATAGTAATTAAATTCATCGTATTAGTTAATTTTTACATTTTTCATTAAAGTATAAAAATAGTTAATTGTTACATTTTTCATTAAAGTATAAAACTAGTTAATTGTTACATTTTTCATTCAAGTATAAAACTAGTTAATAGTTACATTTTTCATTTCCCTATTATTTAATTTGTTAATTGTTGCATTCATCATAAAAGAAAAAAACTAGTTAGTTATTAATTGTTGCATTAAAGTATAAACTAATAAAAGTAGTTAATTTTATTAGTCGCATTTTATCATTACTATTGTACTTATATTAAAACATTTGATATCATATAATATTTGTTACATTTTAAAGATGGATCGTGCCAGACATTCCGTAGATGTGGATAGTCTCCAACGCAACCGAAGGAAGGAGATTGCGACAAGTCATCCTAGTTTACGCAAAGGCAAAGGTAAAGGGCGGGCCGGATCTTCTTCTCAAAGTCGAGAAGATTTTGATGACGGATACCAAAGGCGAGATGGGGATGCGATGTCCGACGAGCAACTACAACAACTATTGGCGCAAAATGATGGTCACTTTTTCCAACAACAAAACATCCCAGAGTCCATTGATGAAGAGGAGCTCGAGGATGACGATGCGGAGGAGGACGAGGGGGGCGACGGGACTCACGGCACCCCGGATGATGAGCAAGAGTTGGAGGACAAGGACGGTCCATCCCAAGTTGGTAAGAAATCTAAATCTCCTATTATAGAAAAAAAATTACAAAGAGGAAAGACCCAAAAACCGATAAATGGTACGCAAGTTGCGATCATTGCAAGAAGGGGTATAGCTTGGGAACTTTCGGCGGATACGGAAGACTCAAAAGGCATCTTAAGTCCGCGCACTCTGTGGAATATGCGAAAATAGACAAAGGGAAGGGGAAACAAACTCAAATATCGAGGTTTGTAAATGACCAACCTTTTGGCAATTTCTCATACACTGATGCACAAAATTTGACTGGTACGGCTAACTTACTTGTTGAAAAAAATTTGCCTTATTTGTTTTCTGAAAGTCTTGCTTTTAAAGATTATGCACAAACTTGTTTAAATCCTCAATTTAGAAGTTATAGTCGCAAAACGGTTAAGAAAGAAATTATAATGCTTTATCGTGCGGAAAAGGATAGGTTACAAAAAAAATTGCAAACTTTGATGGCCGTGCTACTATTTGTTCTGACATTTGGGATGATACCTATCATAATTTACATTATTTGGGCCTGACTGCACATTTTATTGATAGTGATTGGAATTTGCGTAAACGTGTTCTTGCTTTTCGTGAATTTAATGATCGTCACACCGTTGAACATATTTATATTTTGATTGAACGTATTTTACCTGAGTATAATTTGATTGATAAGGTGTTTGCTATAGGTTTTGATAATGCTACTAATAATACTGCTGCTATACCTAGATTGCGTTAATTATGTGGTTCTAATACTTTGATGGGTAGATTTTTTCATCAACGATGTGCATGCCGTATTATAGATTTATGTGTGCAAGACGGTATAAAAGCGTTAGGAGATGCTATGGAGGTAGTCAAGGGGGGATTAGACGTATTTGGGGCAATGGTCAACTTAAATTAAAATAGCAAAATTATTTGATTGAAAGAGGTGTGAAATATGTTGCTTTCCCTAAAAATTTGTCTATTCGGTGGAATATTACTTATAAATTAATTAAAGTTCTTAGATATAAAGAACATTTTCCTGCTTTTTTAAGACAATATGATAACTATATTTTAAACCCCGCTCACATCGACACTTGCGAAAAAATTTGTAATGTTTTGATATATTTTTATAATGCAACTGAAAGTTTTAGTCATGTTTATAAACCTACCTCAAACGAATTTATTCGTGAAGTTGTTAATCTCTCCAGTGCTTTTAATGAATTTGAGAATGCCGCTGACGTGAGTTCTTTTAGTGGTTTTATGAAGGAAAAGTTTTTAAAATATTATGCACATATTCCGCATATTTATAGTATTGCATTTATTCTCGATCCTCGTTATAGACTTGGTAATTTGGAAGAGTGTTTGAAGTTCTATTATAATGCTTTTTTGGTCCATTTCCAATGTATGATGATAACACCATAGATCCGCAAGTTGAATACAACGAAGTTAGCAATATATTTTATGCCTTATTTAATGAGTTTCGTGCACAATATGACAACGTGCCCCCTCTCCCGACACACACATCTTCATCTAAAGGAAAATCACTTTTTAAATCTGCTTTTGGCAATCTTATGAAAAAACCTAAAACAACTCACACTACTGAATAAAGCGCACTTAATGAGATTTCTTTGTATATAAATTATGAGGTAGAATTTGACGAAAATGAGGAGTTTGATGTTCTAAAGTGGTGGAAGTCAAAAGAAAGAATGTTCCCAATTTTGGCACGGATGGCTAAGCAAGTGCTATGAATGCCGGTTTCAACAGTTGCCGTGGAACAAGAATTTAGTTCGGCCGGCAACGTTCTAACGGCATCTAGAACGAGATTGAGCGCTGAATCTCTTGAGACGCTTATATGCTACCACGATTGGTTGAAGGTCATACGTAGATGTCAAGAAGTTAGCATCACCCCCTCCCAAGACTTTATGGATGAATCAACAACGGAGGGTGGCTCCTATGCCGGAGATTCCGATTGATTAGTATTTTACAGTTTCTTATAAAATGTATTTCATGTTTTAATTTTTCCTTCAATTCTCTATTGTAATTTGTAAAGTTGTACGTAGTATTTTATATTTCAAATAAATATACATTCTTTTTTTATATGTAGCACTTCTAAAATTAATTAATTGGTTACAAACTTACAACTTAGAATTTGTTGTGTTAGTATTTTTTGAAAAATGTATTTCATATTTAAGTTATATTAAAAAGATAAATATATATATATATATAGAGGAATGATCATGTACATATGGATGTACGGGGGGCTCCGTACGGACAAAGCCATTAGAGGCCCTTCTGGGTGGAATTTTTTGATGAAATTTTTTGGGCATGTTCTGCATCAAGTCTAGTTTATCCATACCAAATTTCAGCTCAAAATTCGATCGGGAAGGCAGTCAAATAAATTCTTGAAAGAATTTATTTGACTGTCTTCCCGATCGAGTTTTGAGCTGAAATTTGGTATGGATAAACAAGACTTGATGAAGAATATGCTCAAAAAAAATCATTAAAAAATTCAACCGGGAAGGGCCATAGATGGCTTTGTCCGTACGGAGCTTCCTGTACATCCATATGTACAGGAACAGCCCTCTATATATATATATATATAACCTAGGCCCGACCAGGCGGGTGGCCCGGCCCGGGACCCGGCAGGTGGCCCGCCCCGAACCGGCATCGGGCGAAGGACGGGTTGGTACCGGGCCCCCCTTTATAGGATCGGAGGCCCAACCGGACCCAGGCCCGGCCCAAACCGAGTCCAGCCGTAGTTTAGCACTTTAGCTGAATAAAAATTGATGGAAGGAATATAATATACTTCCTCCGTCCCATAAAATTTGACCAATGTTGACTTGCACGTAAATTAATAAAATAAAAACTGTGTGATTAATATTTGTGCAGGGGAGAGAAAAATAACTTTAGCTACATATTTGTTACTTTAAATGAAAATGGCAAAAGTTTTTTGGAACGGTCAAAAAAGGAAAGTTGACCATGTTTTATGGGATGGAGGGAGTATAACTATACTACTATAAAATGAGTAGTACAATTATATTTAATACTCTAAAATATATATACTTAATATTATATATTTAATAACAGTATAAAAGTATATATAATATTATTTAAATATAAGTAAACAAGAATGTTCAGGTCCGAACGTTCGGACGGGAGCCTCCGGTGGAATTTTTTGATGAAATTTTTTGAGCATGTTCCTCATCAAGTCTAGTTTGTCCATACCAAATTTCAGCTCAAATTTTGATCGAGAAGGCATTCAAATCATTTTTTGAAGTTGACTGCGTTTTTATATGCATATTTTGACGCAGTTAACTTCAAAAAATCATTTGAATATCTTCCCGATCGAATTTTGAGCTGAAATTTGGCATGGACAAACTAGACTTGATGAGGAACATGCTCAAAAAATTTCATCAAAAAATTCCACCAGAAAGGGCCCCAAATGGGGATGTTCGGACGGTGTTCGGACCAGAAATGTTCGGACCTGAACATTCCTCTATAAGTAAATATATATAATTATGATGTACAGTCATATAGAGAATCAGAGAATAAGAGTAGAGTACTAGAGTAGGGAGAATTATTGAACAGGTGTAATAGAGAATATGTGTGAAATTTTTTGAAATATGAGCTATTTAGAGGGATTTTTTAACCCCCACTCCCCCGCCCCACACCGCCAACCCTACTCCAACGGCATTATAGCCATTAATAGCCGTTGCAACAGCAATCACACCCCTCCCTCCTGAAAAGCAAAAAATTAAATAAATAAAAAATTAAATGATGACCATTGGGACCGAACCAGGAGTCGGGACCACACGGTCCCCAATTTTTACACCCGAAACCGAGCCCACCATATACCCGGTCATGTAGTCTATAACATAAATTGCGGGTATGCATGTCCCCGCTGCGGCGCTGCCACCACACATCATATGTCTACAGGCACGGTTCTCAAAAAGTACCATTTAGATTCCTTAAACCTAACTGATGGGTTACATGTTCTGAACACCACCACCACCTAAATAAAACCTATATTTACATGATACATTTGTACACCTCCGGGGGATGGTTATAATTAATCACTTTTTCTTATAATTCCAGTGGGAACACCATAGCAAACTGGGGATGCCCCATTCAAATATCGAAGGATGCATGCCTTTCGAGCTTCCCCCATGAACGACCCAATTCTTGGCCTATGCCTACAACATTTATTATGCATATCCCTCTTTCTATTTCCCCGACCTCCTTTTATATCCATGGACTTCAACTCCTTCGAAATTTCACTACATTGGTCACATTTTCCATAAAAGTTGGACCTTTCTCTTAACCACCCTTCCAGCAATGTCTTGCCGAACCTGTCAATGTCTTTGTCGGTCACTTCCCAAAGATTGGCAACTATGATTGGAGAGCCTGCTGAGAGGTAACATAAGGGGGCGCCCTGAGGAATGTAGGACTTGTTGCCTTTAAGTGACCCGCTGCTGCATCCCATTAGTAGGCAAGCCGAGCAAGTCTCAAGATCTTTTTTTTTTGTCTGCAGGGATGTATTGCATACCTGAAATAATAACTTTTATATAATAAAACACAACACTAGCCAGTCCTAGGACTAGAATTATAAGGCAAAACAAAAGAAAGGTTCACTAGAGAAAAATGGATGGAAGGTTTTGGAGGGGTTTGACCCTTGATGAATAACGTTATATGATTAGCATTTATGTTATACTACTATTGAAACGGTGGGTCGATGAAATGTAATATGATTACCATTTATGTTACTCCATGTATTACTTTTATATAGTTGCCCCTTGGGATATTTTTCAGAGTTTGGTTTTGGAGGGGTGATTATTTTATCCAATAAAATAGTGCTTTAATGTGATCGCATTTTGCTCTTAGATATTAGGGTTCGCTCTCTTTGAATCTACAGATGAAATCCTCCTTCCCAAAACAGCCAAAGTTTCGCAGAGCCTCATTTCTCACGAAGCTCACCGGATATGGTTTGGGTTTGGAAAAGCAGAATTCTGCTCTGGACTGCCAGATGTGAAGCAGGGTTCTTCAATTTTTCAATCCCAAAAACCTTCATCCATATTTTCGTTGAATTTTAGGTTATGGTTGGATGGAGGATGTTGGAGGGTTTTAAAAAACTTAATTATAATCTGGAAGAATTTCAAATAAGCCTTTTTACTATTGTAAATACATAACCTAAACATAGATATACTTTAAAAATTGTCAAATAAATGTGTGTACTTGCAAAAATAATCATTCAAACCTATGTTATGAGAACCAAGTCGGACCTGGTGATTAGACCTGGCAACCCGACCCTGGAACCGGCCAGTTGAATGCACACCCGCTAATATGGTTAAAACCGGAATTAACAGGTGGACCGCCACAACTCGGGACGGACCCCGGACCGGCGAAAACCTGGAAAACCCAAAAGCCTGTTTATTTAAGAAATTTCTTCACTAAAAATTAGTCACCAACAGGTTTCGAACCCTAGCCTCTACTAAGCACCATTAACCAACTAGGCTACTTGTCTGTTGTGTAAATACTTTCTCATATTTTATAGTATACTCAAAGTTTTTAATTAATCATAATATTAACGAATTAATTTCACTTTTGGTCCTATGAATTTTATGTCAATTTCACAATTAGTCTATGTCGTTCATGTTGTCCACTATTGATGCTTGACTAATGTTTCTTGGCCATTTTCAGACTTTTTCCGAGGATTTTAACCAGCGGAAGCAATAACGGAATGACCATTTATGGGTCGAAACACAACTGTCATTGTCATTGCCATCATTATATTACCTTTGTTCTTAAATAAATGCAACATGTGAAATTTTACACAATTCACATGTTCTACTTTGACTACGTTTTATTCATTAATGCACTAATAATTTATTTTAAAAAATATATTGTTAAAACTGTTCTATCCTAAGTTTTCAAAATCTGATTTTTTAAAATTTTTTTACTAAAAAAATAAATATACTAATGGTCAAAGATTGTGCATTGACAAACGTGAAAAGTTGACCGTTGCATTTATTTAAGAACGGAGGTAGTACACAGTATTAATAACCTATACATACTTATGAAATATACATTAAATCTATCAGGAAGAGTAAAGTAATGAAAAAGTAGGAAAGAGAAAGTAGTATGTAAAAAGTAAAAAGGGGTAAGGGTAATAAAAGTGAGGGTATAAAGATATTTTGATTGAAAAAACTTACTAAACAGAGAAAAATAGATAAATAATAAAAAAAACATCCCGAAAAGGAATACAAGAAAGTTATTAGAGAACGAAGGGAGTACTTCTAATTTTCTATATAAATATTACATTCCAATATTTTCCATCTAATTTCAAACACATCTTTACTTTCATGAATTTTTTTATATATTGGTACATCAATTTTTAATTTAATCTGATAATCATTATTAAATTTTGAATGATGGAAAATTTTAACCATACATTTTTTATAGTTTTACCATACCTCCATCCCAAAAAACTGTCTTTTTCAAAACTTTGAGCAACTATATCTTTGTATTAGAAACTATTTATAATATAAAAATTGTATGAAAATGTTCTTTGTTAAAAGTACTTTCATAAAAGTATAAAACTTACTTCCTATGTCCCTTAAAACTTGGCCAAGTTTGACCAACACATGGATTTCTACAGAGGAGAGAGAATTAATTGGAACCATAAATTCTTTACTTAAATGGGAAAGTGACAAAGTTAATGGCACCACCAAAAAAGGAAAGTTCAAAAAGTTTCAAAAGACTAGGAGGGAGTATAACTTTCATAATATTATACTAATCAAAATCATGGTTCAAATTTTATAAAATGGCAATTTTTGGGGGACGGAGTTCATATTATAGGAAAAAGTAGCAAATCAGCCCTCGAACTAACTTAAAAAGTACAAATCACCCCTTATATAGGAGGCTCGGTCCGGCCGTCGCCATTTGGGGCGATTCCCTATGAAATTTTTTGATGAAATGTTTAAAGCATCTTCTTCATTAAGTCTAGTTTACCCATACCAAATTTCAGCCAATACCCTTGGGTGAATCTCGAAAAAACAAAGAAATTAATTGATTAAAATTAATTAAAATAGCCAAAAAAAAAAAAAACAGAAACAAGGACAGAAAAGCCAAAGCTTGTGCACAATTTCATTAAAACGTATTCATTGCCTTCCACGGTCCTAGGAGCGTTGCAACGATCGTTTCTCAGGATACGGTGACTTACAAACAACCGTATGAACACTAGAGGAAATTTCAGAAAGCTGGAGGTGTTTTTAGCTCAAAACTACGTGAAGACTGTGTACAATTCGTGTGTTGTTGCAAATCACCTGCCAACTATAAATAGGGATGGATTTGTTGTGCGTTAGGTGACCTTTAATGGACCTGAACGTTGGACATAAATGACCTAAACATTGGGCATTAATATGTCGAAAAACTATCCATTTAAAGATGCATTAAAAGATAAGAACGTTAGTCATTAAAGGTTGTAACGGCTCAAAACCGTTCTTGTGCGCGACCAGAACCGATCTTCTGGCGTTGCAGAACAGAAACGCTCTTCTGGTGCAGCAAAACCAGAAGTGCTCTTCTGGTGTGATCAGAACAGAAACGGTCCGCTTCTGATGCGAACAGAAGCCTCCTCTGTCAGCCCACTGATTCTGGAAAAACATAAGAGCATTATGGAAGAAACAAAAATTAAATCGTATCTTTGAAAGATAGATTTTCGAACAACATTCGTGTCTGCGGGTCATGGTATAAGTCAGATTTCTGGATACAGGCTTATGGAATTACGGTAGGCTATTTTTCTCTAAAAAATGATGCAAGAACAGGTAATTTTATTGGAAAATTTGTGAGGATGGACGAGCACAATTTTAATGAAAAGTGGAATCCTTTTATGCGCATTCGGGTCACTGTTGATATAGACAAACCGCTTAAAAGAAAACTTTTTTTGCAAACGGAAGAAGGTAATAGTTATTGTGTTTCTTTCAGATATGAGAAATTGCCTAGCTTTTGTTTCCTATGCGGAATAATCGGGCACGCGGAGAAGTTTTGTACCCGTAAGACGCGGAGCAGCTTGGAGGGGAGTGCTAGACTGTTTGAAGGCAACAAATGGTTAGTTCCAGCTGGGGGCAGCCAGAAAAAGGAACAAGAAGCAGGGGCGGTTGATACTAACTATGTTGCAGAGATGGGGGTTAGGCCCACGAGTGAAAAAACAGACCAGAAACGTCGACGTATTGCAGGTGAAAGGGAGGAGGGAAGGTTTCAAGAGATGGATATGGAGCGTGGACAAGCAAAAAACGGGGTGGAGGAGGGCTACAAGCTGATCAGGGAGAGGATGACTCAAAGACTCCCTGTTATCACTTAATTTTCAGTTTTATCAGTAGTTCCACTTCACAATGTGTTGTTATTTGTTTTGCTTTTTTGTCTGGTGACAAGGATAATTTTGTTTTGTTAGGGTTAGCTGTTAAGAGGGTAGAAAGTATACAGGCTTTGGTAGCCGAATTTAGCTTTGAATCACTCCCATGTTCAGCTAGTAGAATTGCTCATCAACGAGCAGGTTACTCTATGTATGATCACGGAGTGAGGGGGGCTTTTAGGTATAGATGGGCTGAGGAGAACACTGGGGTTGTGGGAGGTTTGGATGTTGGGCTGTTGGCCTTTATTATTTATATATAAATAGTTTCCAGTCAAAAAAAAAATTACTAGTACTATTACTACTACAACAATCCTCACCATCAGGGTTGATCACTTTGTTTGGTGCCAAGGCGAGTTCAAATCCCGCCAAAAGCGGCCGACCACTTGGAGCTAATTTGCAGATAGGATTAGGATCCTCTCATTATTTGAGCATCTTCTGACCAAATTAGAGATTATACGGATCATTGAAAAGGCTAACTCCTTAATTAATGCATTCATCAGCTAATCAAGGGCTTAGTCCATTAATGGCCCAAACCGTCCCTGGTTTGCTCAGATCATTCGAGGATTTAACACCATACAGGCAATCCCATCATATATAGGCATCATGAGCTACAAATCCCACAATTTGTATACTCATCCAAGCCCCCAAGGCACAGAGGAGTGCATAGGGCAACATTTTTAAGAGTAAGGGGAGATTAAAAAATGATATATTTAGTTATCTACTTATCTTACCGCTTCCATGCCCAAAATAAAGAAATAGGTCATGTCTCTTCAAGGCTTCAGTCAGTTCGTCAACGGTGGGTGCAACTCCGCTCGCACCCTATGAAACCAAAAACGACATTAGCAATTGACTTGAAATCAATTTTCTAGAGCACATGAACTTCAGCTAAAACTGTCAAATGCCATCAGTATAAATCAGTTGCAACTTTAGATGTTTTTATTGAGTCTTGATATTCTACCTCCGTCCCTAACTTTTCTTCCTGCTTTAAGTTGGCACGCTTATTAATAAGGCTTTTGGGAATAAGGTTTGGATGTTGTTGTTTATTAATAAAATGGAAATGTGTCATTGCAGTTCATGTAGAAAATGAAAAAGTGTTGGTCACACAATGCATTCCTTTAAGGGAAATGGGAAAAAATTGGGACATCCCAAAAAGAAAAGGGGAAAACTGTCAATTTGGTCTTCGTACTTTCATGAAAAAGTCAATTAAGTCCTCGTACTTTTAAAAAGATCAATCAAATCCCTGAACTTTGTAAAAATGTTCAATTGAGTCCATTTGCAGGTTATTTGTCATGTCAGCCGGCCACCCGCTGACGTGGCGCACACATGGCGGTTCACGTGTGTGCCACAATATCAGCAAATGGCTGACTGGACTTCCACTTGTATGCCATGTCAGCAAAGTTATTACTGATTGGGCTGTCACATGTGCGCCACGTCAGCGGGTGACCTGATGAGATGGCAAATAATCTGCAAATGGATTCAATTGAACGTTTTTACAGAATTCGGGGATTTGATTGATCTTTTTAAAAGTATGAGAACCTAATTGATTTTTTCATGAAAGTACGAGAACCAAATTGACAGTTTTTCCAAAAGAAGAGTGAAAAGAAAATTATGGGGAGTATTTGTTTTTTCTCAAATTCACAGAACCGGTATTCCCCCCATGCCAAAAACAGCCATTTTAAACCTTACTTTAAGTAATTTGCTTATGTACCAAAAACGAGTCCTGCTTGAGTAAAAGAAGCTAAATTAAGGATGTTATGTTTTGGCAAAGCAGCAAATTTTTTTAAACATAGCTAAAATTGTGGTCCCTAAATAGGACTAAAAAGTGGCAAAATTGCACAAATAGGACTACATTTTTTAAATTCTCTAAATAGGACTATTTATGTGTGTTTGGCCAAATATACCCTTGTAACTTGTGAAATGTTTTAATTAATAATAAAATCATACAAAAATAATAAAAATCGAAAAAAATACTAAAAATCGTAAAAAGATAATAGAAAATTAATAAAAATATTTTTTAAAAAAAATTAAAAAAAATATTTTTTAAAAAAAAAATGAAAAAATAAAAAAAAATCGTAAAATTAAAAAAAAAAACATTACCACCCCTGCCACCCCCCAGCACCACCAGCTCCCATCACCGGAGAAAAATATGCCAACATTTTAAATAATGCCATAATGATGGCATATTCAATGAAAATGTTGGCATATTGAAGAGTAATTATGCCATCTTTTTGGCATTTTCAGAAAAAGATGACATTTTTTTACCAAAAGTGGAAGAAATTTCACCAATCGGAGGTGGTGGTGCTGGGAGGTGGCGGATGGCGGTGGGAAAGGTATCCATAATTTTTTCATTTTTTTATGGGTTTTTACTATTTTTTATTATTTTTAAAAAAAAATTAAAAAAATAAAAATTAAATTTTTTATTTTATAAATGTTTTATAAATTTTTTATAATTTTTTTACGTTTTTTAAACATTTTTTACGTTTTTTATGATTTTATTATGAATTAAAGCATTTCATTATGAATTAATACTCTTAGGGGTATTTAGGGTAGAAAATCTGTGTTTAGTCCTATTTAGGGAATTTAAAAAGTAAAAGTCCTATTTGTGCTTTTTAGGAACTCATTAGTCCTATTTAGGACAATTTCCGTTCAAATAAGTGTACCTTAGAAAACTAAAAATTTATACCTTGAAGAAACAAGATTTCTTTGTACACATATTAGTCTTTAAGTGCAACAAAAAAAGGATTACCTCAAAGTTCTTATCATTAAACCAACCCTCAAATGTAGCCTGGGTGAAGCTAAGATCACCATCAGGGTTCAAGACATAATACGCATCTAGGGGATCGACTAATGGGATGGAGTTCAACAGATTCCCCTTTTCGATAGCTTCTTGCTGGAGGCAGCGTTTGACTAGTGTTGCATTGATGGCACCAACAGAGGGCATCCGGTAAACCTCTTGATCTCTTAATATTGGCAGGTTCTCCCATGGAAGCATCTGCAGGTAGACATGAGTACTGAAATGTCTCAAGAAGAGATAAACATAAACTCTGCAAATAAAAAAGATGACAATCGGCCTCAATATGATTACCAAGAAACAAGTGCAAATCATTTGAAACAAGTGCAATTTTGTTACCTAAAGTGTTGGGACCCTTCTTAATTGGAAAATTTCTAAAAAAAATCTAGAGAAGAGTAGAGTTTTTTAGGATGTTCATAAAACAACATAAAAAAACAGACCGGGAAGCGACCTGATCGAATGATCGAGTCACGGATCAACCCAGACCCAGCAGGTCAACCCGGTCAACGCCGGAAAAACAGGTCAACTTTTATATACAACTTAATGGTAAAAACATATACCAATATACTCCATATAAAATATGAAAAAATAACTACTATTCACATGAATAAATTAAAATTACTTTTAGAACTTAGTAAGCAATTTTGTTATATATTCAAAAATGTTATTTGTTTTAGTTTTAAAATATATGAATATTTAAATAGTCTGGAGTAAGTAAAGTATTCATAATTGAATACTTCATAACTATTTTTTAATATTTATTATTCAAATATATTCACACATCCATCATATTCTAAAAATATTTTTAGGATTTGAATCAATATATAATGTTATTAGATATTTATTTTTACATCCATAAAATATTTAGATATAATTTTGTCTCAGGAGTAAATATTTAAATATATCAAACACTTTTTTCAAAAATTAATAGTACCTCCATCCCACTAACATTGGGACATGGGGAGGTAGTATGGTTATTAAGAAAAGTGAGTTTGTGTGGTTGATATTGAATTGATAAAGTATGAATAAAGTAAGAATAATTTAGAATCACACACATTGTACTAAATTTGGTATGAGACAATCTTAGTAGGACGGACTGAAAATGAAAGATGGGACAATCTTAGTAGGACGGAGAAGAGTATGAACTATGTACACATTATAAATCTTAAAAGTATTGCACGGAGTATAAGCATTTTTAACTTATAGTTCAATGTTATATTCATCATATGATAGTACAATAGTACAAATAATACGTATTATAATACTTATAATTTAATAATTATTACTTTTTAAGTTTTAAAAATATACTACCTCCGTTCTTAAATAAATGCAATAGTCAACTTTTCACGTTTGCCAATGCACAACTTTGACGATTAATATATTTAATTCTCTATTATTAAAAAAATTCAAAAAATAGATTTTGAAGATTTACAATGTGACAAATTTAACAATATTTTTATAAAAATATTTTATCAATACACTAATAAATAAAACGTAGTCAAAGTAGCACATGTGAATAGTGTGAAATTCAATATGTTGCATTTATTTAAGAATAGAGGAAGTATTAAATTCTTGTCAAAAAAATATATTAAACTATATCAAATATATTTAAGGAGCTTGATATACCAACAAATTGCAATGGCAACATGGATGGCCGCACAACAAATTCAAACGTACACGAGGGATCGAAGCGGCAAAGCCCAAGAAGAATATTTTTAAAACTGTGATTTGTCCCGGGCCCAAACAGGTTTTTGAGTTCTTCCGGTTTATGGCGTATTTACGATTCATATGGTAACTGGACCGGGTAATGTGATGGTTCACCTGTTTCCGGTCCGACCCGGCTAGTCCGGTCCGGTTTATCAAACATGGCTAAAGTGTGAGACGGTTTTATAAAATATCAATTCATGTAGTCGTAATATTTATTTGAATGGTGGAAGAACCTCCAACACATTGGAGGGCTATAAACTCTTGAAATCTCAATATTATGTTATTTTTTTAACAGGGAATTAGTATAGGAAAAATCTTGCCTTCACAACTTGAAATAGGAATTTACACTTTTAAATTTTTAAAACGTCTTTGTACCACATTACATCATTTAACTCTGCCATGAGATGATTTTTGGTACTATGCATGTCCCAAGCCAGGATAAAAGAGGAGGGGGTTCTGATAGGCGCGTGACGGCCAACCGTACCACTTAATCACATCACATGATATGAATCGAAACACGAATATTGCTAAAGCTAGGTCGTCGCCCGTAAGCGATGCGTCATCCCTCCATCTGGTGTCAAATATGCAAGGGCACGCTACACTTCATAGGTCAGGGTGGTGATAAGAATGCTAAGGTTGCTAGGTCATTGCCCTAAAGCGACGCACCACTCCAATGCCCGGGGATGGTGTTAAATATGCAAGGGCATGGTGGGGGTCGATGTGATGTAAAGAAGAGAAGGCATGGTGCTAGATTACGTTTTGGGACGTGGATGTTGGCTCTCTTACTGGAAGATCATCTGAGGTAGCCAAGGTTATGAGGAGGAATATCACCATAATGGCATAATGTGCGTGCAAGAAACTCAGTGGGTTAGAGAAAAGGCACATGAGAGTAATGTCGGAGGTTTGGTATTTGAGAGAGGGAGGAACAGAAGTGAATAGGCATTAGTGAGGCGCGTGATTATGTTGAGGGTGTGGTGGAACTCTTTAGGAAGAACGACTGCATCATGAGCATTAAGTTGGTAATACGAGATGACATCATGTCCTTCACCAGAAGTTGGATTAGATGCATCATCACTCAACAATTTTGAGAAGATCTTGAGGAAGTGGTGCGATGAGTGACAAGAGGAGAGAAACCAGTCATAGGAAGCGACCTCAACAGGCATGTGAGCCCAAGGGCGTGATGATTTTGAGAGTACCCATGACTAGGGGTGGGATCGGGATGATCCCGACCCCGATTGCCAAAATCCCGATCCCGTCCCGATCCCGATTCAAAATACAAGAGATTCATGTATCCTGTCTTGATTAAGTCGGGATCCCGACATTAAAATCCTGATTAAGTCGGATTCCCGATCGGGAATCCCGCTTAATCCCGACAATGAAGTATCAAACATAAAATTATCTAATTTCTTTTGTTAACACTAACTTTGATATTTAGTTATTTCAACACTATTCTTTGGTCATTATTATAACATATTCATCATCATCTATTTATAAAATTTATATTAATAATTATCATCTCAAATTTAGTGGTACGTACTTTTAGAATAATTTTTATTTATAACTTCAATTAATTATAACAATTTTTGAGTAATCTATCAAGGTTTAGTGAAACTTACTTAAAAAATTATAGGGAAAAGGTACATATATACCCCTGTAGTATAAGTGGAGGAACAAATATACCCCTGTTCTATTTTTCGGAACAAATATATCTCTGAACTTTTAAAAAGGTGCAAAAATATCCCTCATATTTTTATAAAGGAGCAATTTAATCCTTATTGACTTTAAATTAATCAAATCAAATAAATTTCAAAAAAAGACCAAAAATAAATTAATAAATCGAAATTAAAAAATAAAAATTTTAAATTTCTCCCTTTATTGTTTTTATATCACAATTAAATACTTTAAGTATAAGGTATTATTTCAAAATATGTAATTTTATTGTGCACAGAATGCAAAAAATTAATTTTTCTCTACATTGCAAAACATATGTTGCACCTTTTCGAAAGAATCTTAAAATAAAATTTTGAAATAATATTTCATGCTTAAACAATATTATATTGTGATATAAAAATTATAAAAGGGAGAATTAGACACTTTTTGAGCATTTTTTGAGCATGTTCCTCATCAAGTCTAGTTTGTCCATACCGAATTTCAGCTCAAAATTCGATCGGGAAGGCAGTCAAATAAATTCTTGAAACTTACTGCACTTTATATATGCGCAGAATGTGCAGTAAGCTTCAAGAATTTATTTGAATGCCTTCCCGATCGAATTTTGAGATGAAATTTGGTATGGACAAACTAGACTTGATGAGGAACATGCTCAAAAAATTTCATCGAGAAATTCCACCGGGAACCGTCCCAAACAGTGAAGTTTGGACGGCTGCTCTCATCCCTCCGGAGGGACCTGAGCATTTCTGTATAACTGTATATGGATATGTTTAAGGAACAAAAAATACTTCTCAGGTAATATATACGAGTAAATGTATATGGAGAGAAATCATCTCATCAGGCCGGCCTGACGGGCTGCCCCGTCCGGCCGAGCCCGTTTGGGCACCTTCCCGGTGGACTTTTTTGATGAAATTTTTTTAGCATGTTCCTCATCAAGTCTAGTTTGTCCATACCAAATTTCAGCTCAAAATTCGATCGGGAAGGTCGTCAAATGATTTTTGCAAGTTAACTGGTCCAGAATATGTATTTTCCGGACCAGTTAACTTGCAAAAATAATTTGACAACCTTCCCGATCGAATTTTGAGCTGAAATTTGGTATGGACAAACTAGACTTGATGAGGAACATGCTCAAAAAATTTCATCAAAAAATTCCACCGGGAAGGTGCCCAAACGGGCTCGGCCGGACGGGGCAGCCCGTCAGGCCGGCCTGATGAGAAGAGCTCTCTGTATATGGATATGTTTAAGGAACAAAAAATACTTCTCACGTATGGGGTGTCATTTTTTTAGGAACAAAAAATACACCCATATTCATTGTGAAGAAACATTTATTAAATGCCACATGCAGCCTGTACCAAAACCTCTCCAGATGAATAGCTACCATACAAATTTCTTCAAAATTATTTATTGGTATAGATTCCAGACACATTTGGAGTCCACTTACAGTGAATCACAACAATTCTAGCAGTCCCAGCAGCAGCGAGGACAGAGCAGATATGTCTGAATTCCCGCAATCTTCTACTTCAAATCTCGCCGCCGCTGCTGAATGCCGCCGCATAATCGATACTTCCGCCGCGGGAGGCGGAGCGGAGGACCTCTGCTCCTTCCCTCCGAACTCAGACACCGTCCTGGAGAATGTCCTGAAACACGTTCTCTGCTACGTGACCGATCGCCGCGACCGGAACGCGACCTCGCTAGTGTGCAAGTCGTGGTACCGGATTGAGGCCATGACCAGATCCGAAGTCTTCATCGGAAATTGCTACGCCGTGTCGCCTCAGCGGGTCAGGGATCGGTTCAGCCGGGTCAAATCTCTGATTGTTAAGGGAAAGCCTAGGTTTGCCGATTTCGGATTGCTTCCGCCGGACTGGGGCGCGCGCGTGGACGCGTGGATTACCGCCTTTTCCCAGCCTTACGGTGCGCTGGAGAAACTGTACCTGAAACGCATGGTTATCCTGGACGAAGATATGCAGGCTCTGGCGGAGGCTTTCCCGAATCTGGAGGAGCTGGTTGTGGTCTGTTGCGAAGGATTCGGGACCATGGGACTTGCTTTCGTCGCGGGGGAGTGCAGGTGAGTGGCACTTTTGAATTTCTTACTGCGTATTTGACATCCTGTTCATTGTTTGCCGATTGCTTTTTAAAAGGTTTGCAACTTTTGGCTAATAGTCATATATTTACATTATCTACTCTAGTTGTTTAAATATTTACCACAATAATATCAAGGCTTATTTTTAAAAGATTTTGGATCATCTAACATGAATGGATCCATCAGGAGCTACAAATGATAGTTATTTATATTTATTTTGAAAAATTACCTAATTATCCTAATGAGAAATATAAATCCTTATTAATATCCCTCGCAAAAAAATCCTTATTAATATAGATAGTACTACGTATTTCCAAGGAGTAATATTGATGTCTTGGTGAGGGTAATGCCATAAAATGACATTATTTTTAAATCAATGTTCAAATTAAGGGGAAAAGTTTAAACATGTTTCCAAAGTATATGTGGAAGTGCACATGTACTCCCGAACTTTACCGGTGGGCGTAGCTCAACTAGTAGCAAGGGAGTGCCACAAAGGTTAGGTCTCGGGTTTGAATCCCGGCAACTGCGACGAGGGGTTACTATGCTGAAAAATGCATAGGGCCTCTGCAAGTACCGGGGACAGAGCTCCACTCTCTTTCTGTCAGATTGTGATTATAGTTCAATTTACATCCTCCTATCGTGTCTTCCGGTAGGTGTTGAGGGGCCCTCATGGATGGGGTGTTATCCTTTTTTTGGGAAGTGCACAAGTACTCCCGAACTTTGAAAAAGGTGCAAAAATACATCTCATGTTTCTATAAAGAAACAAATTTACATTTATTGACATTAAATAAACAAAATAAATTTTAAAAAATACCGAAAATAAACTATAAATTTAAAATTCAAAATTGAAAAATTAAAAAGTTTAATATTGTTAGTATATAAATTATATATTGTTGTTATTTTTATATCACAATTTAGTATAGTTAGTATGAAAATTTGTTTCAAAACTTTATTACTTGTATATATTTATGACTATTTCGGAAAAGTGTTAGAATATGTGTTGCAAAAAATAATAATTACTTTTTTGTATTCTTTGCAGTATGAAATTACATACGATAGTATTTTGTATGATGATAAATAGTTCAATATTACAAAATGATAGGATCCTCCAGAAATTCACAACAATCCACAGAGAATTTGTAAAACAGAATCAAGAAAACAAAGAAGATTTTATTATCGATGAATCGGTAACAAGAATGGCCGAAGCCCCCAATGAGCCGTAGCCCCCCAAAGAAAGAGAATAGTTCTCGATCTCCCAAAGTCCCAAAGTCAAAGTCTACAAACAGCCTACTTGACTTCTCCCAACTTATTCTATTTATACTAATCTAGTACACTTCTTATTATACTTGGTTTATTAGGCCCACTCCAAACAGTCTATTAGGCCCAATTCCTAACAATACTTCCCCCCAAAACATCCACCTTGCCCTCAAGGTGGGTAATATGACACAGCTACCATCTTCTTCTTTTCCTTCATCCTAGCACCTCTTCCTCTCCAATACTTATTTATCTGCAGGGCATTTTGCTTTGCTACTTCCATTTTCCGTTCTATGTACTTCACAGCATAGTTCCACAGAGGCCAGAAAATTTGATCCAAAACTTTGATTCCTGCAGATTTTGGGAAGACCAAGGTGCAGCCTGCTGCAACATAGGGGACAGCTACTTCATGCTTTTGAACACTTCCTCCTTCAACATCCTGTTCACTTGATGAGTCATCTCCTTGTAAAATCACCTTCTGCCCTTGTACTTCCCATTTGAAAGTCTGACTTTGGAAGTTAATCTCCGTGTCTCCCAAGCTTGTTAGCCAGTCCATTCCCAAGACTAAATCCGTGCTCCCCAGCTCCAATAAGTAATAAGTTTGATGAATACCAATTCCTTGCACATTCAGATCTACACCTGCACATCTGCCACGGCTTTGAATACATTCTCCATTCCCTAACTGCACTCTATTCCCCTGAAAAGGAGTATAAGGAATCCTCCACTTTTCCACCAAGCTTAGTGACATAAAATTGTGTGTAGCACCTCCATCAATGAGTACATTTACTGTGTTTTCACCTTCATGCCATTCCAGTTTACCCTTTACCTTAAAGGTTTTCACAGGGGTTATGTCTTTCTCATCACTTAAAGAAAACTGCATGGTCTTCAATTCTAGAGATGTGGTCTTATCCCTGCCAGATTCCATTGATTCAACTTCAGAATCAGCTTCACCCTCCGAATTCTCCACTAGGATCATTTTATAGTTCCTCATCTTACAGACATGTCCTCTTCCCCAATTTTCACCACATTTAAAACAGAGTCCTTTCTTGCTTCTGTTTAATAGTTCTTCTTGGGATAGTCTGGGACTTGTCTCATTAGATACGCAGCTTGGACCTTCCTTCCTGCTTTCATCTCCCCATTTCTGGCCTGAAGACTGGATGATAGGTTTAGTCTGCCATTTCCTCTTTCCTTCATCCTTATTCTTCACAAATAAGGTTTCAGAATTCTTGTTCTCAATCGTGGACGCAGTATCCATAACTTCTGCCAACGTTCTAGTACGATGTAACTTCAATCCTGCTCTTATATCTCTTTTCAATCCCTTAAGAAAGATTCCTCTCAAGACTTCTTCAGTTAAGTGGCCTTGGGACGCAATGGCAGTCTCAAATTTATCCCTGTATTCTTTCACCGTTCCTTTCTGCTTCAAACTGAGTAGTGGTCCCAAAGGATCTTGCACCAATTCTGGTTGAAATCGTTTGGACAGAGCAGTAGTAAAAGCATTCCAAGTTTGATGTTGAGCTTGTCGTTCCCACCATTGGAACCAGCTCAAGGCCTGGTCCTCCATGGCCACGACTGCAACGTCAATCTTATCTTCTTCGTCTGTCCTGTTCAATCGGAAGTACCGGTCCATCCGTACTAACCATCCAAACACATCATCGCCATTGAAAATAGGTAGGTCAATTTTTCGACCTACCTGTTGATGGTGCCGCTGATGTCTGCGTGAGTCGCGATGGCTATGCGAAGTGGAGTGGTCTGATCCATCAGAACTATCGCTGTTCTTCACATGTCTATTGTGATGCGATGTCGTTGAATGATGCGACCGACTCGACCGACTCCTAGATCGATCGGAATGTCTGTTTTGGAGGTCCGCGATGCCAGCCTGCATCGTCGTCATCATCGCGATCAGGTTTTCATACTTCGTTTCTACTTCAGCTATTCGTCCCTCCATCATCTTCCTTGTTCCCACCATTCACAGCAACGAAAGGCTCTGATACCAATTGATAGGATCCTCCAGAAATTCACAACAATCCACAGAGAATTTGTAAAACAGAATCAAGAAAACAAAGAAGATTTTATTATCGATGAATCGGTAACAAGAATGGCCGAAGCCCCCAATGAGCCGTAGCCCCCCAAAGAAAGAGAATAGTTCTAGATCTCCCAAAGTCCCAAAGTCAAAGTCTACAAACAGCCTACTTGACTTCTCCCAACTTATTCTATTTATACTAATCTAGTACACTTCTTATTATACTTGGTTTATTAGGCCCACTCCAAACAGTCTATTAGGCCCAATTCCTAACACAAAATAGTGATTTTAATTTTTGTTATGCATAAACAAAATCAAAGAATCTTATTTCAAAAAACGGAAAAATGTGTTCGAAATTTCGCAACAAGACTGAAATTAATATTATGAATTTGAAGTGCCGCATTTACACGGGAAAAATAATAATTTAAAATTAAAGAGTTAATATTTTTAACATAAAAATTGATCTTTATTTTTAACTCTTTAATTTTTATTTTTAAATTTCGTATTTTAAATGTATAGTATCTTTTCTTTCTTTTTCTTTATTTTAAAGTCAATTAGGGTAAATTTGCTCCTTTATAGGAAGTTAGGAACATACGTGGTATTTTTGCACATTTTAAAAGTTCAGAAGTATATGCTCACCTCTACATATACTTTAGCGGTATATTTGCACCCCTTCAAATCAATAATATTTACTAGAAAACAAAATTGTAATTATTTTTGGATTAAAATTAATCAAAACAAACCAATCAATATCAGAATTAAATAAAAGAGATTGGTCAAAATAAAATAAAAAATAAACTGAAGATAATAGAAACAGAGATGGTGGAAGAAGTAGAAAAACAAAAACAGGAGAGGATTAACACTTACCATGACACTGCGGCAATCAGTAACGATGCCTTGGAAAGTGTTACCATGTTTTAGATCTTTTACTTTTTTGAGGGGTAATATCTACTTTATTGGTGTGTTGAAATGTAGTGACAAATTAATTTAGAATTTTGCTTCGTTTACACGCCGGCTATCACGCCTAAGTGTAATTGTGGGTGCACGGACAATTACACATGGGGTTTAGTAAAGGGAAGTGTCTGTGACTCCAAGAAATGAATTGTCTGTGCAAAGACAACTCGGGATCACAACACTTACCCTTACTAAATCCAAGTGTAATCCGGCGTTAATCGGACGTGTACATGTAGCATTTCTGTTAACTTTAACCAACTTTGAAGTATGATAATAATCTCAATTGTGAGATTCTGTGGTTTGCTTGTGCTCGCACTTTCTAGGTATAATTTTGATGCTTATTATTTTAGGAAATTGAGGGTGCTCGAACTGATGGAGTGTGATATCGATGATGAAGAAATGGATTGGATTTCATGTTTCCCAGGAGATGAAACATGCCTCGAGTCTTTGGCCTTTGATTGTGTGATAAATGATGTGAATTATAATGCGTTGGAAAGGTTGGTGATGAGGTCTCCTTATTTGAAGAAACTTAAGTTGAACCAGGTTGCTTCTATTGAACAGCTTTACAAGCTGATGGTTAGGGCCCCACAGCTTACCCATCTGGGAACTGGATCATTTAGGCCCTCAGAAGAAGGTGATGGTGAACAAGAAGAAGAACTTAACTATGCTTCTGCTTTTGCTGCCTGCAAATCATTAGTGTCTCTGTCTGGGTTCAGGGAAATACATCCTGATTACCTTCCTTCCATATACCCCATTTGTGCCAACCTTACTACTCTTAATTTCAGTTTTGCCGACATCAATGCTGAGCAACTCAAAGCAGTCATTTGCCACTGCCACAAGCTGCAGGTTTTATGGGTATGTAAACTTCAAGGAAATATGAATTTTTGTTCAGGTTTTATGGGTATGTAAACTTCAAGGAAATCTGAATTTTTGTTTATTAATAGTGACCATTTGGTAGCCACTTTTTCGGCATATCAGTTGGACAGTTTTTTATTGCCCAATGCTTATTTATAAGACTTGGTGCCCTGCATTGGTTAAATAATGAAGATAAAGTAGGGTGGTGAGTTCTCTTTGGCTGAAGTTGTAGAATATAATTACTATATTATAATCGCATTAATTTCTTTTTGTCAAACAATTCATCTCTTTGTTAGCAATAAAATACATATTACATATATCTTCTCAACATTCAGAACCTTCATTGTATCACCCACAAATAGGTCTTGTTTGGTTGCATGAGTTGGCTCATTTTGCTATGAATACTTAGAATAAGTTGATCGTGTAGCCTTCAACTTAGATCCGATTTGTTAACACTGAAATTGGCTGAATTAAAAATAAAACTAAAATAATATTTTTATTATTAAAATTACGAAAAAACTATATGAGAAAATAGCTAAGATAGTCTTATTCACCAAATTCAGTAAGAAAAGTAACTTCGACTTTACTGATATTGATTATTAAATAATTTACCGCGTGAAAATCTAATATTAATAATCATTTTGTTGATTTCTTTGAGTAAATCAGAATCAAAAGTTATGTGTTTGGTAAAATTGTAGTCAAACACAGCTAAGAAGATGAAAATGGCTACGGAGCGAGTCCTTATTTATCTAGCTGAAATTGATTTTACAAAACACTATTGTTCAGAGAGAACTATGGCCAAATACACACCATCTCTTAATCTTAAATTTTTCTCTGCAGGTGCTTGATTCAGTATGTGATGAAGGCCTCAAGGCAGTAGCTGAAACATGTAAGGATCTAAGAGAGCTTCGGGTTTTCCCTCGTAATGCTGATGAAGACGCGGATGGCCCCGTTTCTGAAATCGGTTTGGTTGCAGTCTCAGAGGGTTGCAAGAAACTTAATTACATATTATATTTTTGCCAGAGAATGACCAATGCGGCTCTCCTGACCTTTTCACAGAACTTACCAGATATTGTGGTGTTCCGTCTCTGCATAATGGGCCGGCACAGACCCGACCCGGTAACAGGAGAGCCAATGGATGAAGGGTTTGGAGCTATTGTCAAGCACTGTAAGAATCTCACCCGCCTCTCTATATCCGGTCTGCTGACCGACCAAGTTTTTAGTTACATTGGTGAATATGGTAAATTGGTGCGGACGCTGTCAATCGCGTTCGCTGGGGATAGTGACTTGGGGCTGAAATACGTCTTGGAGGGCTGCCCGAAGTTGCAAAAGCTCGAGGTCAGGGATTGCCCATTTGGGGACTTGGCTGCCCGTGCTGGTTTGCATCACTATTACAACATGAGGTTCATTTGGTTGTCTTCTTGCCGAGTGTCACGTGAATGCTGTGAGGAGATTGCACGGGAGTTGCCGCACTTGATGGTCGAAGTGATTGACTGGAACGAGTTGGGGAGTAATGAGAATGATTATGATGTTTTGTACATGTACCGGTCTGTTAATAATGAACCAAGAACCGATGCCTCAAGGTTTGTTCAAATCTATTGATGTTAGGAAAGATGCACAGGAGGGTGCCATTGCGGTATAGTGTTTTTTCCCTGGAAGTTCTGGGACCAGGGTTAATATTGGTGATCTATTTGTGGTCTCTTTCTTCATTGAGGATGTTCATTTTGTCTTAAAGATAAAAAGAAGCCATGGACATTGCAAGGTGTAAGATGGGGTCCTACAGAAATGCAGATTGAGAAAGATGATGGTGATTTGGGTGGACTTGCCATCCGTTGCATAATTCCCATTTCATTAGACTGAGCTTTTACTTGTTTCTATGTTTGTCAGTTTACACTTTTAGACCTGCTTATTTTCTTTGGCTGTTTTTTCGTTTGCACCTGGCTGCTGAATTTCTATATGGTTCTTTTATTGGATGTTTCGTTTCACTAATGATATCCATGGTAAGCATGGTTGATCAATGGCTCTGGTTTCCTGCTTTCCTAATTTAGTTCTCCTATCTGTGGAATTGGCATAAGATCCTCGGAATGATGGACCATGATAGCGATGCTAATGATTCATTTTAGCTGTGATTGTGATTGTATGTGGTAATTATTAATTAATGTATTGGATAAGTCGGCAAACCCCACTTGAAGTCAATAGATTTGGCTAAATGCCCTTTTGAGCCTTGGCTTTTGATTAATCTATTGAGGTTCATTTGGTTGTCTTCTTGCCGAGTGTCACGTGAATGCTGTGAGGAGATTGCACGGGAGTTGCCGCACTTGATGGTCGAAGTGATTGACTGGAACGAGTTGGGGAGTAATGAGAATGATTATGATGTTTTGTACATGTACCGGTCTGTTAATAATGAACCAAGAACCGATGCCTCAAGGTTTGTTCAAATCTATTGATGTTAGGAAAGATGCACAGGAGGGTGCCATTGCGGTATAGTGTTTTTTTCCCTGGAAGTTCTGGGACCAGGGTTAATATTGGTGATCTATTTGTGGTCTCTTTCTTCATTGAGGATGTTCATTTTGTCTTAAAGATAAAAAGAAGCCATGGACATTGCAAGGTGTAAGATGGGGTCCTACAGAAATGCAGATTGAGAAAGATGATGGTGATTTGGGTGGACTTGCCATCCGTTGCATAATTCCCATTTCATTAGACTGAGCTTTTACTTGTTTCTATGTTTGTCAGTTTACACTTTTAGACCTGCTTATTTTCTTTGGCTGTTTTTTCGTTTGCACCTGGCTGCTGAATTTCTATATGGTTCTTTTATTGGATGTTTCGTTTCACTAATGATATCCATGGTAAGCATGGTTGATCAATGGCTCTGGTTTCCTGCTTTCCTAATTTAGTTCTCCTATCTGTGGAATTGGCATAAGATCCTCGGAATGATGGACCATGATAGCGATGCTAATGATTCATTTTAGCTGTGATTGTGATTGTATGTGGTAATTATTAATTAATGTATTGGATAAGTCGGCAAACCCCACTTGAAGTCAATAGATTTGGCTAAATGCCCTTTTGAGCCTTGGCTTTTGATTAATCTATTGAGCAACAGTTGGAGCAGTGTTGGACTTCGTTGAATTGGATTGGAATTGACTGGGTAACACACTCGGAGAGAACTGTAATTGGAAGGATAAGACCGGATCGGAAGTAGCGCATTCTGCATATGATGCTGGAGTGCTGGTTGACTGGAGTCGTCTGGACTACACGTCTACACCGTTTTGGGTTGGCCTTTGTTGCTTGACCGTAATCAGATTGTGTCTATCCCAAATAGGGAGAAATTTCAGGTTTGGGATCATTTTTGAACTGATGATCTTTGAATGAATAGAATCATTTATAGTACTTTGGTTGTGTCATATGTGAAGGGAGAGGGACTTGAATAGTTGAATTGTCTATTGACATTATTGCTGGCAGAATACTAAAATCATAACCTCTATTAGATTCAACTATGGAAACGGAATGAGTGTTGAGCTTGACTTTCCATCCTTTGCTAAGCCATATGTAGGTCAAATAGAGCAATCTAGGCCTGAACTCGGGCCGGGTAGCCACCGGGACCGGCCCGGGTAGCCACCAGGTCCGGGTCGGGCCGGGCCGATTTTTTTTTTTTTTTTTTTTTTTTTGGCTTTCCTAACCCCCCCTCACCCCCCCAAACCCCTCCTAACCATCAAGCCCAACCCTGGTGGAACCCCAAAAAAAGAAAAAAAAAATCAATTTGGTCGGGCCCGGGCCAGTTTGCCAAATGTAAGACCCGAGCCCGGACCTGCCCCCCGGGCCTAGGCCCGACCCGGACACGAGAACCGGGTCGGTCCCGGTCTCGCACAGTAGCGGGCCGGGCCGGTCCACGGGCCGGGTGGCCCGACCCGAATCCACCCCTACATCAATCCAAATTCACGCTAGTACATACTTTTAGAATAATTTTTATTTATAACTTCAATTAATTAATAGTATAATTCTTGAATAAGCTCTCTAGGCTTAGTGAAACTTACTCCAACAATTATATAAAAAATCACTAAAAGGATGTGTAACGTATACAACAACAACAACAACATTCAAGCCTTAGTCCCAATAGATATTGAGGTCGGCTAACATGAATCGATACATGATATCATCACCAAAAGGAAAAGAAACAAAATCAAGATAAAAAAGATAACCTATTATAAAAAAGATAATATAAAAAGAGATGAATAAACCTGAAAATGATAAAATAAAAACGATAAAAAATAATGTTTATATATATATATATATATATATATATATAAGGATAAAAGAATAAAAAAACAAGAATAAACAAAAGATGAGGGGAAATAATAATACGAGATCACTCCTCCACACGAATACTCGTCCTACACTTTGCTCTCTCCAAAGCCATACCCTCATCCAACCCAAGAAGAAGCATATCACTTCGGACTCCCCTAACTCACGTCTGTTTGAGTCTTCCGCTCCCTCTCTTCCCTGCCTCTTCTCTACACATCTCAACACACCTAACAGGTGCATCACTCGGTCTTCTACGCACATGACCAAACCACCGTAGGCACGACTCCCGCATCTTGTCTTCAATAGGTGCTACTCCCACCCTTTGTCTGATTGTCTCGTTTCTCACGTGGTCCTTCCTAGTATGCCCACACATCTAACACAGCATGCGCATCTCTGCCACGCTCATCTTTTGAATGTGACATTGTGTCATCGTCCAACACTCTACGCTATACAGCAATGCAGGCCTAATTGTTGTCCTATAAAATTTAGGGAAATTTTCCGGGATAGGACTAAATCTCATTGAGTTTCTCTAAGTATGATTAAACTAGTTTTTTGACACTTATATGGAAAATCCAAATATAAAATAAAATTTTGTTTATATTTAAATGTTGATTGAAAAAAATACCCTTATTTAAAATATGTGCATTTTGTACTTATTTCGTCCAATTAAAATCAACGCATTTTATATTGTCCTTATTGCACAACATTATTGCACATCCAGTAATATTCACTGCACTTCCGCCAAAATTATTTCTCTTGTCATTCATTCTATGAAATTATTTATTGTTTTTTATTTTTTATTTTTTTTAGATTTAATAATTATATTATTTTACATCTAATTAAGTATATTGTGTTTCATGACGAAATTATTGATCATAATCACTACACAACACATTTTTCAATGCATTTAATTCAGTGTCATGTACAATACGTAGTGCTATGTATTGCGATATTCACTGTCAATGTTCAATGCTCGTATTTAATGTCCACAAACCCTGAATTGAAGAAACCATAATCTCAAAAATAAAAAAAATTAAGACCACTTTTCAATGAGGCGTATGACTTTTCCAGTATTCCATAATTGAAAAAGCAAAAAGTATGAAGAACAGGTCTTCACAAGTGTTCACGGAAGACGCTTCCTTTTTCCCACTTCTCTAATTCTGAAGTCGCCGTTCTTGAATGGCTTCAAATTCTGGCTTTATATTGTCGGTGACTTTGCTCTCAGGCCGGCATCTGTGGAGGCGGCGCGACTAGACTGTGGGTGCAGGATTTCGGGCGAGCGACGGCCGTTGACGACGACATGGCACCCAGGTCGAGTGGATGCCTTCTCAGGCTGCATACCTTCTGGATTGGCTATTTTTCTCCCAGCCCGTCTGATTTGTGCGAACGGCTGGCGACCTCTCCAGTTGTGGCGTTGCTGCACGGCGAGCGGCGGTGTTGCTCTACGTGGGCGGCGGCGTTGTACTCCCGGCGGCGGCATGGGTGGGCATTTGCACGCAGGGGACATGACTACAAGCTTTAGGGTTAGAAGCAAGAGTGCTCTTCTCATCAGGCCGGCCTGACGGGCTGCCCCGTCCGGCCGAGCCCGTTTGAGCACCTTCCCGGTGAAATTTTTTGATGAAATTTTTTGAGCATGTTCCTCATCAAGTCTAGTTTGTCCATACCAAATTTCAGCTCAAAATTCGATCGGGAAGGTCGTCAAATGATTTTTGCAAGTTAACTGGTCCGGAATATGTATTTTCCAGACCAGTTAACTTGCAAAAATCATTTGACGACCTTCCCGATCGAATTTTGAGCTGAAATTTGGTATGGACAAACTAGACGTGATGAGGAACATGCTCAAAAAATTTCATCAAAAAATTCCACCGGGAAGGTGCTCAAACGGGCTCGGCCGGACGGGTCAGCCCGTCAGGCCGGCCTGATGAGATGATTTCTCTTAGAAGCAATAAGATATTACTCGTATGTTTTTTTAATAATAGTCTAAGGACATATTAGTCATATAATATACTTTATTTAATTTTTTATTCATATATTAATTAATTGAGAAAAGATGAGGTGAGAAGTGCCCCTTAAAATAAAAAGTGAGAAGTAATCTCAGTCCTTGAATTTGCATCTGATCTTACAACGCAGTAAACTTAGAGTATATATATGAACTTAGGATGTTTTTACTTGGACTGTAATTTGTACCAGACTAGACCAGTCCAGATCAGACCAGACCAGTTCAGACCAGACCAGACCAGACTTGGATAGTTATAAAAATACAAAAAAACCAGACCTTACCAGACCAGACCAGACCAGTTCAAACCAGACCAGACCAGATCAGACCAGACCAATAAATTACAGTCCAAGTAAAAACACCCTTATAACTAAATCTCAGCCGGAGTAAATCATAACTTATAAAGCTCTCCGTAATAATTACGAAAATGCCACCGCGTCAAAAAAATTTCCAGGTTTCCGTAATTATTGTTTTTCGGTGGCATTTTTGTAATTATTTTTGAGGGGTTTATAAGTTATGATTTATTGGTTAAAAGTTCTTATATTTAATCTGTAAGTTTAACTTCGCAGTTCTCAGCCTAAGAGCACTTCTCACCTGATCCGCTCCCTTAATTAATTAATACGAAGTTTAATTATATTTTAAGAAAAAAATTCATTAGGTCATAGATTGGGAAAGTGATAGAGTTTTAGTAATACCCAGGGTAATTATCTCATAAAACTTACCCTTTAGTCTAGTCGCCATACCTCTATCACATAGAAATCTTGACACACTCTTCCACTTCATCCACCCTGTTCTGATTCTATGGGATACATTTCCATCTAACTCACTGTCCTTCTGAATTATGGAGCCCAAGTAACGGAACATATCACTGACCGGTATCTCCTTACCATATAGATTAATTCCACTATCCACTGCTTCTACCTCCACCAAACATGCACCTCATGTACTCTGTCTTGCTCCGACTTAGTCTGAAACCCTTGTTCTCCAATGTTTGTCGCCATACAGTAACACCAAGAAATGGAAGTTTAGTTCCTCATTTGAAGACTAAACATGCTATAAAAATATAAAAGAAATATTATTCTAAACTGAACTTAAGAGTATGGAAGAAGGGATGATAATTAGTGAAGGAAAAGTGTGCTATTTATAGGCGTTTTTCAACATCTTTGGTCGGGTACCCGACCGGGTCAAGTGCCCACACGACCGAGTGCATGTCAAAATCAGATAATCTTCCACGTTCTCGTGTTTCAGCACGTTAAAATATCTTGGGTCAAATCTCACCCAACCGGGTGCATTAATGGACCCGACCGGGTCCAGCTCTTTCCTCTGAGGTTCGTTTTTTAAATCAGACCCGACCGGGTGAAGATTTCTACCCGGTCGAGTGGATCTCCCTGGGCCGCATTCCTGTTGACTTTTTCTCCTTTTCCTTGCCAAAATCTCTACCATTATTCTACAACTATAAATGAAAGCTAAAAACAATTACAACTAAAATCACACATATGTTTACAAACTAAATAAAACGGTAAACAATCTGTACAAATAAACATAAAAACATATATTTATGCACTACTAATTTGTGCATATCAGTAAGACATGTGATTAGTGTAAAAATTAACATGTTGAAATTATATAGGAACGAAGATATTCAATATATTGATTTTGCATCATTCTGTTCCAATAAATGGAATCACAATAGCACCTTTAGGTCTGAAATTTTGCAGAAAATCAAGTAATTATTGGTCATGTATATTAAGTAAACTCCATCAACGTCTTGTACTTTTAAAGCTAGTTTCAACTCATCATTGTATAAATATTATTGTGCTACCTGCAACATTCATCAAGGAAGTGCAAAGACAAAAACTATTGCATGCCACGTCTTTAATTATATGGGATGGTCGAAGCTATGATGATTCACGAGATTTGTTTTAAGGTTTTAGACCTTACACCGAGAAACATCATGAGTAACTATATATATGCAATGTTGATCAATGGCCTAAGAGTCACATATCTTAGTTCAATTAATATTATTCACTTGCACACTGATACTACCTTCCATGTCAATATGTATACTACCTCAATGGCTACATTGCCCAACCATGTCCTCCATTTGAAAATCGGAGCCCCAATAATGTTATAAGGAACATTAAGCATGCATAAGTTTTGTTCAATAAAACATGATTGGTCATAATTAGATTGGAAAAGCAAGTATGACAAATCATAACTTGAAAATTTGTGAAAGATAAAGTTTACATATTGATAATCTCATTGTCCCATATGACACCTTTATTCAATTTCCAAAGAAAGCAATTTCCTATAAAAGTAAGCTTTGCAGCAATGACAATCAATAAAAGTCAAGGCTAAATGTGATCACAAAAAAATCCATTTATACATTGAGAGATAAGTTTCATTAATGAACAATTGTACATTTCAATGCCAATTGCTATCGTGATGAGGCCTCTAGTACGTTGATGAAACCTAGTTGAGGGGTTTTGGCTAAGGTGTTCTGGGATATGCTAATGGACCATTCTTGAGTTGTCTACCACTGTGTTCTAGATGGTTTCTACCTTGTTTGTAGGGTTTGAAGATGATACAATAGAAGATGATTCAATTAGTACACTAATAATTTTGCCCAAAAGGTTTAAATGTTTCTAGTGATGGTTAGATTGTAATGAATGTGCTATTATCCATGGATTTTCTTCACACCACTGTTGTTATTGTGTTCCTTATCTTTTTTCTCGTGACGCTGATAATTCGTCCTCTTCCGGAACCACCAATGATTTTGGTGTTGGCATGAATGATGAAATGGACCATTTGCAGTCTGAGTGAAAGCACAAGGCGGTTGGAGGCTTGGAGCGTTACTTCCACTGATAATTCTAGGGTTTTGCCTTTACATGTTCTTATAATAAAATAAAACAATATAATGTTCATTAGCTGTCTAAAGATATGTTCCGCTATAGGTGGTTTACTGTCGAAAGGTTTATTTGGGTATGTACGTATATGTGAAACTTTACGATTTTTTTTTGAATATTTTATAATTTATGAGTATATTTGGGTCTCAATTTAAAAGACTATCAGGTGTGCCATGGACAATAATTTCAAGATGACAGCACTATTTTCTACCAAGCAAATTAACAAAACGACATTTTATGCTCCATACAAATCACATCACCCCATCACCAAAAGAGAGAAAAGAAATTAAAAAAAAAAACAGGACAAAAGAGCATGAGTGAAGAGGAAAACCCCAAGTAACGGACGCAAAAGCATTAGAAACATCTAATCCTCCCCCACCGCCGTGCTCCTCCACCTACCACCGCCATCTATAAATAGTTCAACCAAAATCAACAGGGAGGAGTCGGAAAATACGGCCGAGCTTATTCCTATCAGCCTAAAAACGCCTTCGCTTTTTTTTTTTCTTCCCAAATCTCCCATCATCAGAAAAATATCTATTTATAAAATAATTAAACAAAATTGATTGCTGTATGGGGTGATTTTTTTTTTTAAATAATTATACTGAAATTATTTATGGGTATAGATTTCAATTTTCAGACACAGTTGAAGTTCACTTGACAAATGTGATGAGTGACAAGAAGACTAGTAGTCCCAGCAGTAGTAGCATCGGGAGTGAGGGCCGTCCAGAAATGTCTGAGGACGCGGAGCCTCCGCCGCCGTCTTCTACTTCAGATCTCGCCGCCGCCTCTAAATCCCGCGTCTTCCATACTGCCGCCGCCGGAGGTGGTGGGGAGGATAACTGCTGCTTCCCTCCGAACTCAGATCACGTCCTGGAGAATGTGCTGGAAAACGTTCTCTGCTTCCTGACCGATCGACGAGACCGGAACGCGACGTCGCTGGTCTGCAAGTCGTGGTACCGGATTGAGGCCATGACCAGATCCGAAGTATTCATCGGCAACTGCTATGCTGTGTCGCCTCAACGCGTCACGGCTAGGTTCAGCCGGGTCACCTCGGTGATTGTTAAGGGCAAGCCCAGGTTTGCTGATTTCGGCATGCTTCCGCCAGACTGGGGCGCGCGCGTGGACACCTGGGTTGCCGCCTTTTCACAGCCTTACCGTGCGCTCGAGAAACTGTACTTCAAACGCATGGTTCTCCTCGATGATGATATGCAGGCCCTGGCTGATGCTTTCCCGAATCTGGAGGAGCTAGTTTTGGCCTCTTGCGAAGGTTTCGGAACTTATGGACTTGCTTGCGTTGTCAGTGATTGCAGGTGAGTGCAACTTCTTTTAATTTTCTTGCTTTGGCTTTGGAATTCCTAATTCATCCCCTGCTTTGATGTTTGCTACATTCTCTTACATAGTAAAAGGGTTGCTGCTAACTATCATTTTTTACATGTTCCAGTAGAAGTCATATTTCAATCATCCACTATAGTTGTTAATACGTTTTTGGTGTTGATAACGCCATAGTTGATAAATTTTAACCTGTTTTGAGGTATGATATTGCGCTCCATTATGAGACTGTGTGTGGTTTTCTTGTGCTCGCAATTTTGAGATTAAACTTTGATGCTTATTATTTTAGGAAATTAAGGGTGCTTGATTTGATGGAGTCTGAGGTCATTGATGATGATGTGGACTGGATTTCATGCTTCCCAGAAGGTGAAACATGCCTTGAGGCGTTGGTCTTTGATTGTGTGACAGGTGAGGTGAATTATAAAGCGTTGGAGAGATTGGTGATGAGGTCTCCTTCTTTGAAGAAGCTTAAGTTGAACCAGGATGCTTCCATTGGAAACCTCTATAAGCTGATGGTTAGGGCCCCACAGCTTACACATCTGGGGACTGGATCATTTAGGCCAGAAGAAGGTGATGGTGAACAAGAAGAAGAACTTAACTATGCTTCTGCTTTTGCTGCCTGCAAATCATTAGTTTGTTTATCTGGCTTTAGGGAAATACTTCCTGATTACCTTCCTTCCATATACCCTGTTTGTGCCAACCTTACTACCCTTAATTTTAGTTTTGCCGACATCAATGCTGAGCAACTCAAAGCAGTCATTTGCCACTGCCACAAGCTGCAGGTTTTCTGGGTATGTGACCTTCAAAGAAATACTAATTTTTTTGTTAGTATTGTCCATTTGATAGCAACTTTTTTTCACAAACACTTACTTATTTGACTTTTTCCCGGCTCTGGTTAATCATAATGAAGATAAAGTAGAGTTGAAGGTACTTGTTGGCTGAAGTTGTAAAATAGAATAATCATGTTAACTTCTTTTTTTCAAACAATTTATTTTTCTATTATCAGCAAAATAAATATTAGATATTTTTTCAAAATTCAGCAACATCATATGATCACCCACAAATAGGTCTTTTTTCGTAGCATTAATTGGCTCATTCTGCTTAGAACACTCTGAATAAGCAGGACATATAGCCTTCAACTTATTTATTTGTGTGAAAGTAATTTTACAGAATGCTATTTCTTTCAGAAGTGACTTCAGCCATATTACACGTACCAAACCGATTATCACAAATGTATTTCCTGCAGGTGCTTGATTCAGTCTGTGATGAAGGCCTCAAGGCAGTTGCTGAAACATGTAAGGATTTGAGAGAGCTTCGAGTTTTCCCTCGTAATGCTGATGAAGAAATGGATGGCCCTGTTTCTGAAATCGGATTGGTTGCAATCTCCGAGGGTTGCAAGAAACTTAAATACATATTATATTTTTGCCAGAGAATGACCAATGCCGCAGTCATTACCTTTTCACAAAACTTACCGGATATTGTGGTGTTCCGTCTCTGCATAATGGGCCGGCAGAGGCCTGACCCGCTAACTGGTGGGCCAATGGATGAAGGTTTTGGAGCAATCGTCAAGAACTGTAAGAATCTCACCCGCCTCTCCACATCTGGTCTGCTGACTGACCAAGCTTTTAATTACATCGGGAAATATGGTAAATTGGTGCGGACCTTGTCATTTGCGTTCGCTGGGAACAGTGACTTGGGGCTGAAGTACGTGCTGGAGGGATGCCCGAAGTTGCAAAAGCTCGAGGTAAGGGATTGCCCGTTCGGAGACTTGGCTGCCCGTGCTGGTTTGCATCACTATTACAACATGAGATTCATTTGGATGTCGTCTTGCCGAGTATCACGTCAATGCTGTGAGGAGATTGCACACCAGTTGCCGCACTTGGTGGTGGAAGTGGTTGACTGGAACGAGTTGGGGAGGAATGAGACCGATTATGATGTTTTGTACATGTACCGGTCTCTAAATGATGAACCAAGAACCGATGCCTCAAAGTTTGTTCAAATATATTGATGTTAGGAAATATGCTGGAAAAGGTGTCATTGTGGTTTTATCGATTTTTTTCATGCAAGGTCGTCGACCAGCGGAATATCGGTGATTTATTCGAGGACGGTTTCTTCAATGACGTTCATTTTGTCTTAGAGAAGAAAGAAGCCACGGACACTACTAGGTGTAAGAAGGGGTGTCCTACAGAAGTGGAAATTGAGAAAGTTCATAGTGGAAATTGCATAATTCCCATTTGATTATATTTAGTTTTCTCTTGTTTTTATTCTCTGTATCAGTTTAGACTTAGACCTGTTTATTTTTCTTCAGGTGTGTTGCTTCTTTTGCACCTGGCTGCCGAATTGATTTATTTGTTGTTATTTTACTAGACATTTCATTCCATTAATGATATGTATGGTAAGCATTGTTGATCAATAACTCTGGTTTCCTCATTTGGTTATCTTATCTATGAAAGTTGCATAAAAGCCTTGTGAGATGAATGATAATGATTCATCTTAGGTAATTAATTTATTGGATAAGTGGGTGAACTCTACTTAGTTAATACATTTGGCTAATTGCTATATAGAGCCCCTTGGCTTTTAATTGTATATTTACATATATTGAACATTAGTTGGGAGTAGTGTTGGACCTGGTTGCAGAGTTGGACTGGTACTGGGCGGGTTACAAACCCAGATGACAACTGCATTAATAACATTGGACTGGAACTGATTCAATCCACATGATTTTGATTCCACTAAAAATGTGACTGGACCAAACCCGTTTTTATCCTAATTATTTTAGGAAAAAAATATTTTATTTCTGATTGAGTGTTGGGACTTGCGATGTTTTGGGTCCTGATCGTAACCGACCTTTTTCGTTTGGGACTGGAACATAAATAGCCTCAATGGACTTTACAATGTTGATTATATTTTGATCTAATTCAAATGACTCCTTTCAAACTGGAATTTATAGCTTCTATGTAGGTTGTAGAACTCCAATTTAGATTTTCAATGGCATGAAAAAAACTCAAATGCATAATTTTGTACTTCTAAATGATTAAATCAAAAGCATCACCCGTACGAATTCAAAAAAATGAAGTAGATATTTTGGTCAAATAAGTATGCATCCTTTAAGATTAGATATATAAAAGTTCTATAACTTGAATTAGATTTCTGATAATATATAAAAGGCCCAAGTGGGTAATTTTTATACTGGATATGATCAAGTTTTCAAGTAAATGACATTTTAGTCTAATAAAAATAATTCCCTTAAAATTTGGGAACTATATATAAACTAATCAACTAATCTAAAACTTCAAATTATCTTTTCACTGACATAAAATGTGGCTCAAATGAAATCCTCAACCTCTTCTGACAGGACTTTGTAATGGCTATCATCCGCCTTCTAGGAGGATTTCATAGTGGGTATACTCGATCAACAATTCTTGTTGTACACACTTCACTGTTGTACACTCATGTACACGCGCCTGTGAAGATTTTTTGTCTGTCGCAGACAAAACAAATATAGACAAAAAAAATCATTCATAGACGCGTGTACACGTGTGTATAATAGTGAGTCAGTGAAGTGTGTATAAAAGGCTTCTTTCATTCTCAATCACTTGGAAGAATTTCACAATGGCTATCATCTTGTAAAAGAATTTACAATGTAAGAATTAAATTGCTATCATCGACCGTTACAATAATGATTTGAGTAATAAGGATATCCTCTTGGTGTTTGCACCTTAAGTGTATAACAAAAGTTTTTCTTCACGCTCTAAATATATAAATTGAGAGACTTAAACTGGAGAAGAAGAAAATACAATCAATACCAAATTAAAAGATTAAATCCAAATGTATATATGTATATTATACAGATTTAATAATGCTAAAATGTAATGCACTAATGCTCATAGTAGCAAGATATAAAAAGACAATGGAAGGTATATTAGATTAAAAGTATTGCGCTCAACACCACAGTAAATACTTAAGAAGGAATAAAAGAATGATTAAGAATGATTGTGTATGCATGATTAAGAATATATGGAATCATATAAGAGATTATCAAAAGCTAGATATGTTTGGATTTTGGAATAAACAATGGTACATAAGTTAAAAAGTATGTGACTGTTGTGAGTTAGATCAATGAAATTTATATTAACGGTAGCTTAAATAGTCCAGCGAACGATTTAGGGTTGAATTGTTTCACTCGATTGTGTAACCAATAATTGTCCGCTTTAAAGAGGTTGCACTAAACATTTGATTGCAATAGTCATCTTTGTTAAAATCCTTTTGAACATATATTAGAAATAGATTATTTTTGGAACATGTATGCCCGCCGTTTTGTAAAGCGGCACAATAGTTATATTAATGAAATGCCAGACCCGAAATAAATTGCCAAAACCGCTCACCAAATAGTCTAGTGTTAGAGCAATTGTTTTACCGTTTCAGGAAAAGTGAATAGTAATTTTAAGTTTGCTTAAATTATCATTTTTTAATGTTTTTATAAAATATGAGCTTACTAATTATCAAAAACACAAAATTATATATTCAACAATTAATTCTAGTTTTAAACTTTATTATTGAAGTGCTTAAACCATCTTCAATCTTCATCATCTTCATGAGATAACTAATGAATTCTATTTCATCTGCACATGATTAGGATATTGCTTGTTACGGATTACTATTTCCCCTTTCTTTAGGGGATAAGGTAAAGCGTCTTTGTCTCCACACTTACCACCTTTTACCCTTTTTCTTGTCCCAAGTGTAACTCCGATTGTGTGAAAAAAAATCAACCGTCCTGCCTTGTGTTCTGTTGACGGAAGACATTTACCTTCCCTTGGGGGGACAAAAGTGAGAACAATTATTGAAGAGAGAAAAATGAGTTGAAATGACTCTACAACTAAGGACAATTTGGCATAGCATCTTTTTATCCCAGACCACACCCATCCTTCTTTGTTCCAAAGGCCACGTCTGATCCCCATATCTAACCTACTATTAAAGCGTATTGACAGCTTTACATGCTCCCAAAGTCTTATTGGCTACATTTTATTATTCCCTATCTTATTATTATATTAATCAAAATATGGGTCAAACTCCTAATTAAAATATCACGCAATTCCTCCTTGTTCTTTCTTTTCTGGGAAAATATTATGAAATGTCAGGTAGGTGTTTGACCAATACCGGAATATAAAAATGATAATTGGGGGTTTGATGTATGGAAATGTTTTTTACAATAGAGTTTGACACAATATTTAAGGAAATACCGAAAAGGTAGTAGGAATACTGAATATATAATGTAGAAAAAATAGGAGAGAAGATGCAAATTTATAAAATAGAATATAAAAAGTAGAAAAATTAAAAATAATTGAGTACTTTCACAAGGAAAACTTAGCAAAAAGAAAAAGAAAAATGTAACAATAATTTAAATATAACTCGAAAAGTTGTAACAAACATTTTACGGAGTAACATATAAGAAGTACACTTTATTTACTTTAAATGAAAGTGAAAATTTTACTTTTGGAATAAATGAAAAAAAGAAAGTTGACAAAATCAAATAAGATGATGATATTATTATTTACACATATTATTCATAGAAAAAAAAGGTAGCAATGAGATCTCACCATATTACTAATCATATAAGGAGTATAGTGGATCTCACCATGTTAATACTTAGTGATAGAGTATGGGGTGTTTGGAACTGATTCTGTTTCTGCTTATGCTTCCTTTTTAAAACAGAAGCATAATCAGAATCAATTTTCAGAAGCTCGTCCCCCACAGTTTCTAAAAAAATTATTCTATGAGTAAAATAGAGCACCAGAATCAGTTATTCACTTTCACCCAAACACTTCAACTTCTGCTCCCTGAAGGAGCAGAAGCAATTTTAAGAATCAAATCCAAACACCCCCAAGTGTATACTACCCATGACCTACATAACCACAAGACATCCCCCCCCCCCCCCCCCCCCCCAAACAAACAAATAACTACATCCTCTCCCATCAGCCAAACGACGGTACCACTGCTTACTTCGATCCAGTTTATCCAACACTGTGATCAAACAGGAATAAACAAAATCACTCTTGTCCATCATCCCCTCAATCATTCACCATTGCCAAAGAATGAGACATTGCCCACCATGACAAAGGGACAAAGGGAGCATGCCCTTCCACCACCTCGTTCAGTCCTCGTTCTAAATCATTGAAGCCCGGTTGACCCGATTTGCTCTGGTATCGGTTCTGGTCTGAGTAGTAGTGATGGACCCGGGTCCGGGTCGGGTCCGGGTCGGGCCTGGATAGCAATGGTTTAGGCCCGGGACCGGTCCGGTTGTCTACCGGTTCCGGGCCGGGCCGGGTCTAGGCCGGTCCGGGTCCGGTTATATTATTTTTCTTGATTATTTAATCCCCTACCCCCATCCCCCAAACCCATCAGAAACACCCAGCCCATTTAAACCCAACACAAACAAAAAAAACAAACAAACAAATAAATAAATAAAAGGCCCGCACCGAGTCCAACACTACCGAGTACCCGACCGGGCCTCGATCAGGCTGGTCCTGGATCAGGACAGTTTTTATTTAAATTTCCTAATTTATTAAACACGTGGTACACATTAAAAATGAAATGTATATTTATTTGAAATATGAAGTACAATTGAGGATTGAGAATAATTTAAAATATCAAACAGAATTGCTAATCGTCGGAATTCCCGTCACCGTCGGTTGTCGTTTCCTCCATGAAGTGGCGGTCGGGGGCAATACAAAATTCTTGAGTTCTATTTTGGGCCTATAAGCAATCGTGAAAATAAATGAGCGTCTCAAAAGATTGTGCGCTCAATCTCGTTCTATAGTTCGTTAGGACGTTGTCGACTTCGTTACATTCTTGTTCTGCGGCTATTGTTGACACCAGCATTGACAGCATTTGCTTCGTCTTTTTCGGTAAAATTGGGAACATTCCTTCTTTCTCTTTCCACCATTTGAGAACGTCAAAGTCTCCCCCTTCTTCATACTCACAAGGAAACGTTAAATATAAAAAGCTCGTTAATCAAACTTTGTGCAACAATGGGAGTTGATTTAGTTTTTTTCATAAGATTACCAAATGTAGATTTGAAAATTGATTTTCCTTTAGATGAAGAAGCAGTTGGTTTGGGAGTACGTTACCATAATGTGCATGAAACTCATTAAATAGTTGATGAAATAAGTTACTAACCTCATTGTATTGCGCTTGAGGATCTACAAGCTTATCTTCATACACATGTAATGGACGGAAAACACAAGTATAATCGTACTCTAAACATGATTGATAAGTAGCAAGTTTGAAATGAGGATCAAGAACAAAGGCAGTACCATATATAGGCAAAATGAAGGTATAATATTTTAAAAACTTTTCTTTCATGAAAGAACAAAAATAATGAACGTAAGAAGCTTCAGAAGTTCAGAAAATTCAGAAAAAACATCAGTGAGATTAACAGTTTCAACAAAAAATTGGTTTGCCGTAGGTTTATAAACATG